TCTGTCTTGTTTCTCTTCTTTCTCCCATCAAAATGGCTGGTGCCCCCAGGATGGTTCTGCAGTGTGCTTCTGGGAGGCTGGCAGCTTGTGGCACCTGTGACCAGAGGCCCTGAGTGTAGTCTAGCTGAAGCCAGCCTGCTGAGGTCCAGATCCCTGCCTGCTCTTGAGCACACTGGGACAAGGGCTGGAAGGAAAGACATCCCTACTGCACTCCCCCGCCAACCATATACCCTCCTGCTGCCTTCACAGGTCATCACCTGGCTGAACCAGACCTCCTATCCACTTGTCTTTGAAGTTGCTTGAAAGGGCCAGTGAAATCACTGAAGGTCAAGGGTAAGTCTGGGGAAGTCATGTCCAAATAGAAGGGACTGTGAAGCCTCACTAAGGTTTCCCAAGAAGTTTGGAGGCAGCAAACAAAAACACAAGAAACATGCAGGGATCACAAAGTGCCATTCTGCAGGTATGAACACTGTGGCAGGTGGAAGGGGTGGCTCGGGGGCTCTAAACCTGGCTGGGCTGGGCTTTGTCCAAGGCTGCAGCCAGCTGGAGAAGCAGGCTATCAGCTCCATGGCTGAGGCTCACCCCAGGCCAAAGGGGTATACTAAGGCAGGCTGCCATGTATTCCTCTGCCTTTCAACAATACCACCTTGTCTCCATGGGCCCTGAGCCTGAGAACAGCCTCTAAAACACCAGGGGATTCGTCAGACAAGCAGAAAATAGGAAAGCAGTCAGGGAACAGGAGGAGGGGCAGAAGGTTCCAGAGGAGGGGGGCCAGGGCCCCCAGAGGCAGGAATGGGAGTGGGGCTAAGACTGGGTCACACAGCCGGTCGCGGTGGCACATAAAACTGTAATCCCAATGACTCAAGAGGCTGAGGCAGGAAGATCCGAGTTCAAAGGCAGCCTCTGCAATTTAGGGAGGCCCTAAACAAAGCAGTGAGACCCTGTCTCTAAATAAAATACAAAAAAAAAAAAAAAAGGGGCTGGGATGTCGCTCAGTGGTTAAGTGCCCCTGGGTTCAATCCCCAGTAACCCCCCTCATCAAAAAAAGACTGGGTCACATGAGCCTAGGTGGACCAGGCTGCCATGTGTCCTGCTGGGTTGTTGCTGAGCAGAGCACTCACCCGCGTCTACCTTGGAAGAACAATCTAGTCCTCCTGCCAGCAAGTGTTGCTGAACACTTTTGTCGAGCACAGCATGCCAGGGCTATAGAAATGACTCAGACTCAGCTCTTGACCTCAAGGACTTACAAAGATGGGAGACACGCAGAGGGAAGGAGTCAGCAGGTAGCAGGATGTCATTTTCAGGAAGTGGTGCATGTTTTAAGGTAAGTAGGTTCAGCAGGGCGGGGGAGGACATTTTGGTTCAGAGGTTCCCTAGGCACATCTGTGGAAGGGTTTCACTGGAACAGAGGGCTAAGTGCAGGACAGTGCCTTCAGGCACAGGTAGGGCCTTGTGATGGTGTACTTGTGGTGCCAGCTGGGGGCCCCATGTCATGAAGTTAGGGTGCTCCCTGGCAAGATGTTGTAGTTTATGCTATGAACTAGTGACTGAAATTTGGTGCTATTTATTCCACAGCCAAAAAAAAACAAAAAAAAAACACAAAGCCAAAACCAAGGTGGAAAGTGTAATGGCTGGCACCTTCAATGAATTCACCAAACAACCTACTCTCAAAAATGACTGCTTGGTGTCTAGCGGCCTCTGAGGCCTGCAGTTCTAGAACCATGGCCCCAGGTGCCAATGAAGAGTCCACTCCATCTTCAACAGAGACCTCTTGACCCTTGACTATTTGGGATGTATCACTTGATGAGGAAAACAGGCACATGAACAGACTACATTAACAAGTGTGCCTGCCATTTGGGGCTCTTAGTCACAACAGAAACCAACTCTAGTTAACTTCATCAGAAAAGTTTTATTGGAAAGTGAGGGAGGAGCTTGGGGAATTGTCAATCAGAAACTGGCAAGAACAAGGGAACTGGGCAGCCAGACACAGCCACTGCCTGCCACTGGAGCTATGGGCCTCCAGCACCATCAGCAGGGGACCCATGTCGCTGCAGTCCTGGATTGTCACCACTGTTGCCAGCATCACCACCAAAGCAGCATAGGAGTAAACACTTCAGGACCCTCTTCCCCAGAATTCCTCCCTCCAGACTTCAAGGAATGGATGTCTCATGGGCTTAGCTGAGGTTCCAGGTTCAAGTGCAAGCTGCTCAGGATTCATGGGCTTCATGGGCTTCCCTGGCAAAGGAGTCTTCCCTCCCCCAAGACACTGCTATGGCAGGTTTCTCCAACACCAGCAGGGGCCCTCAGGCATTGGGTAGAACAATTTCCCTTTTCCTGGATTGACTAATTCTGACTAAAGGGAAATTAGGGTCAGTTGCTATCCTGTGGGAGAGGGAGGAAATGATCAGGACCCAGGGTACTCCTAAAATATCTCCTGGTGTGGTTCCTGTCAAAGGCACAGAAAAATTTCATGGAAAACCACAACCAGATAAGACCCTCCATGGACACTGGTTTTGCTACTCAATGACCAGGTGAGGCAACACTGAAGGCCAAGGGAAACCCAGAATGTCTGGCAAGGAATGAAGTCCTAAGGGTCAGCTTGGCCAGCTGCAGAAAAAGGGGCCACAAATTCTGTTTCTGTACATGCATTGGGAAATTTTTTTGTCACATTTTTAATTTTGCCTTCAGGCTGCCTACCAGACCACATCTATTTTGTTAATAATCATGAAAATGGTGATACTGTTTTTTAAAAAATCAAGCAAATGCATTATTCTAGGTGAAAAATCAAGAGCCTCCTTCCTCACCCCTTGGCACTGATCCTCCATTTCTTCTCAGAGGCATCCTCTACCATCAGTATGTCACCTTCCAGACCTTTCTTATGCATTCTCCAAGTATACTTTGGTTTTGTAAGTCTTCATCGTGCCTTAAGACTGTACCTGTTTTCTACACTAAGCTTAACATTAGGTCTTGGAAATCTTTCTGTATCAGTATTTGATACAGCTTGTAACTGCTGCATAGCATTAATTTCATAAGGACCAAAGTAGCCACATTGGGGACAAGGACATGAGCCACATTCCTATTGATAGGTACAATGCACACTACTCTCTAAAAAGGTTGCTGTTGTTTATATGCACAACAACCACTGGTCTTTTCATTTCTTCTCTTCCTAGCCCAAACTGGGTATGATCAGGAGGAACTATTGGTTTCTGAAGGACACAGTGTTTCACCTGGTGTATTAATTTACACATCACTAATTTCCAGTGAGGTTGAATGCTAACAAGATCCAGGCTTTTTGGAGTTATGGGGAAAGGACTCTTAACTATTAGTAGGCACATCAATTAGTGCTATCACTTGGGATAGCAACTAGGCATTATCTAGTCAGCGTAAAGATGTTCAAAAACTCTGGGACCCAGACCTTTCACTACCATGTATTTACCCCTAGAAAAATTCACACATGTGCACCAAGGAACATCTTTCTAGCATTTTCATTTCCATGAAAAAAAATGCTAAGAGCCTAAAATACCCACCCATAAAGGACTGCATAAATAAATTGTGGTAATTCATACAACTGAATTATTTTGTATATAGCATTTAAAATATATAAACTAGATGTACATGTATCAAAAGGCCAAATCTAAAGACAATGTTGAGTGGAAAAATCAATTTGCAAAATGACAGCATACATTCTATCAATTATGTCCACTTGAAAATCATAAATTGGTTATGGACATGTATGTATATATTTATATAGACACACATATACAGATATACTATGTATACACATATACATACACACACACACACACTCACATATACATATAATGACACAGACAAGAAGTAAACACACCATTTTCTGCTTGGTGCTTACCTCTATGGAAGAGTAAAGGTACATGTGGTGGGGTGAAGAACTTCACCTGTGTCTGAAAATTTTTTATTAGAGAGAGAAAAAGAGACAGCTGAAACAAATATGGCCAAATGATAAAACCTGTTCACTCTGTGTAGGAGGGTTCCTCTATTTCTTGCCTTTTCTGAAGCGTTTGAGTGGTATATGTTTCTGTCCCTATCTATGTCCCTGTTAAGGTATGCGATTGGCATACAGTTCAATTTTTTTTAAATGATTCCCTCTTGAGAGCTTCTTGAAGTTGATTTTAACTCATTCATTCCTACACTCAGTATAGATTTTTCCTACCATTATTCCATATTTTACCATGATTTGTCATTGTTTCTTTCCTTCTTTCTCTACTCGACCTTTCCCCTATTATACAATTATATACTTTATTCCTACTTTAGAAAAACTATTACCCTCCATATTTTTTTGACATTTTTTGGAGTCTGCATTTCCAGTGAAAACCAAAGTTTTCTATTGTTGAGAACACCAAAAAATGCAAGTGCTCAACCAGAAAGTCACCTGGTACCACCATTTCAGACAAAACCAAACAATTCCATGTTACTGTGTAAAACCAAAAGTACTTTAATAAGCTTTTACGGCACTGCAATTACAGGAACGTTAACCCAGAACATGCAACAAAAATTATTTTGCCTTTTGGACATAGTTAACAGATAAACTTGACATTACAATTAACAGCAACATATTCTACTGAAGAAAACAAATGCCATTTATTCTGACTTTTGGGTTAGAAAATGTATGCTCTTAGTGCACGCTCAAGTAGCATTTAGAAAGTTTAGTTTTTCCTTTCTAACCTCTAAGACAGTATGATTTATTTGTGTGTGTGTGTGTGTGTGTGATACTATGGACTGAATCCAGGAGTGCTCTACCCCTGAGCTATACCCCCAGCCCCTTTCTAACTTTTTATTTTTAGATAGGGTCTCACCAAGTTTCCCAGGCTGGCTTGAACTTGCAATCCTCCTGCCTCAGCCTCCAAAGTTGCCAGGATGACAGGTGTGTGCCCCCACACACACCTGGCTAGGACAATTATGATTTTTAATGCAATCGCACACAACCGTTTTCACATTGGAAATAATCACAAGGAATCAACAAGTTTAGTCTAACTGACCAAATGGTTTCATTTTCATTATTAATTTTCAGAGGGCTCCTGCAGTATTGTGGGTTTCAGGTACGGGGAAAATAAACAGACCAGGAGTAAAAATAAGCCTTGGTCTTTAGAGTGGAGGAGGGAACATGCAGCGGCACACAGGGCATGTGCCTGACTTCTGAAGCCAGATGGACACGCAGGGCTTGTGGAAATAGTGGTGGCATGGAAGCTCGGTCGCCACTTCCCCCTTCACATATTCACTGCAGCAGATAGGACAGCACATCTCTTGGCCAACTGCACCATGATCTTCAGTGACCAGGATCTCGGGAAGAGCGTCGATGCTCTCCTTGCTGGCCGGTGGATTGGCCACCTCGACATCCACTGCGAGAGACTCCAGGTGTGCCAAAGCAGTCTCCATTGCCTGTGCCAGGCGTTCCTCAAGTGCCATGTAGGTGAGGAACTGAGGATCCACATAGGAAATGGCTTCGGCCACTCCTAACCCATCGGCAAATCCATCAAAGAGGCTCCAATCCACTTCGAGGTCTTCGCTGACGCTGGAGTCATCTTCGAGGTTGTTGTTGCCATCCAGCACGAACACCCCCGGCTGCATCAGCTCCTGCCCAGAGTCGTTGTCTCCCTCACTGCTGCTCTCGTTCTCATTGTACTGGAGCCAGGGAATTTCTCCTTCTTCCAGGGATGTTTGCTCCTCTTCCTGCAACGGTGGCCCTTGAGCTTCCTCAAGATAGCTACTGCCATTGCTCACAACATCTGCACTGACGCTGGCGCCGGCACCAGCACCGGCAACGGCACTGGCTCCAGCAATGGCGCTGGCTCCGGCAGTGGCGCTGGCTCCAGCAACGGCACTGGCTCCGGTCCCAAGGCTTGGGCTGGTGTCGGTGACACTTCCACTCACTCTGGCTTGCTGAGGTTCTCGGTCTTCCTTTCCTGGCAGGGTCTCCCAGCTTTCTCCGCTGGAGGACAGCGTTTGCTCTCGATTTCGGTACTTCCGGCGCAGGGCAGCGATCCACTCTTTGTCGCTGTCAGAGTCTTCATCACAGTATTTGTAGTAATCATCACTATATGTCCAGAAGTCGGGGTCCGCCATGGTCCGACGCCTCCTCGGCACCTTCTCTGGTTTCACTTGGTCGTTCCTGGCTTCCCTCTTGTCTTCAGAGTACTTCGGCTCACAGTAGCCACTTGAACTCTCGCCTCTGCCTCTCCTTGCCAGGCCATCCGAGTGGCCATCATCAGCATTGACAGCATCCCTCCACCTGGAAGTACTGTGTGGCATATCATCATCATCATCAGTATCAAAAAATATTTTTGGTTTCACGCAGTTTGGACTTGCCAGATTTCGGACTTTGGGCCTCACCACCGGTTCCTCTGCACTCTTTGAGGGGTTTCCCCCACCACCACAAATACTCACAGGAGCCCTACTGGGACGTGCAGTCAAGTTCTGCCCCCTTCTCTCCCTCTCCAAACTGTCACCAGTTGTCACCTTGCCTTCAGCAGAAGACATCTGAGAGCCCATGCTAGTCGGCTTCCGGAACTCTGCTGGGCTAGCAGAGCATCTCGCCACAGGGGCTGGGTCTAACTTGTCAAGCTCCTCTCTCACATCACAGTTAAAACCAGAGAACTGGGGAGGCACCCCAGCCACAGACCTTGCCCCTTTTTCTGGGTCATACAGCTTATCATCCTTAAACTTGCCAGCTTTCCCTCTCACTGGCGGTCGCTCAACAGGCCCAGCCCCCTCCTCCTCACTATCATCTGCCCCCAAAGTGTCAATATGTCCATAAGCCATTCCTCTTCTGCCACCCGAAGCCCTGTACTCTCTTGGCGGATACCTGGAATAGTCCTCATTATCAACATTCAGGCTGGTTCCCGAACTCTCACAGTCGTCCCAACTACGACGAGTGGTGGCAAATGGTGATCGGCTCCTCTTGGTGGTTTGACTGGGGGCTGATCTGTGCATTGGGACTTCGGATGTCGTCTTTCTCTGGCTGGCAATCCTTTCCTGCTGGCTCGTGGATGGCCTGAAACTGACATAAGCATGCCTTCTTCCATACCTCCTGCCTGTATTGGACTGATACCCTCCTGCTGGTTTGGGCCATACGGGCTTGCTAGATTCCTGACCCATTGCTCTGGTTTAGGAAGGTTTCCAATAGAGCTGGGGCTTGGGTGGAAAGGTTCCTGCTCCCTGCACTTGTGCTTTTGAGCTGGGAAAGTCAAAATCAGTTCAGCATGAAGGAGCAGGAAGATCTATTTTCACGTCAGCAGACAGGTAACAGAAGGGACAAGGGATCTTTAAAATTAGTTTCACTTTCTTCTAAGGCCTGGAGGAGCATTCCAGTGACTGTCAGGTGTAGACCTGGAACACATTTTTAATGTTGGCAAAATGATTACAACACCAGGTTTACAGGAAAGCCAGACATAGGGGGAGAGAGTGTGACAGAAGGTGGGGGGGAGTGACCAGACACTTGGAAGGTGGGTGAAGTACTGTAGAATTGTGCTGACGTGGGAAGAGGAAAGGCTGATGTGGGCTTTTTTATGGGATGTCTATTTCTGAACCCTGCAGACATAGAGGAGAAATGTGAATTGGAGTGGCAAGTATAGATCACTGTGCATGGATGAGTTAGGAGAGGGACAGGTGGAAGGGGTATCTGCAATCCTGCAATGGAGCCTTGTCTAGGTTTGTAGGGGGAAAGGATTGACTGTTAAAATGGGACCCATTCTGGATGTGATGTAATGGGTAGGATGGCTTCAGAGGAAAGTGGTGTGAGGGGGAATAAGAAAAAGAAAAGAGGGATGTGTAGCTGTGTATGTGGCAGGTGGAATTATGGGGGAAGCCTACATTTATGCACATACCGCAGGCAGGGAAGGGTATGGTGGCAATGGAGAGGAGTGTATGAGAGTCTGTGTGGTGTGTGAGTGTGAGTGCGCATGCGTGTATTCATCCAAATGGGATGCAACAATTGAAAAACGTCAGCACGAGCAACTGTGGCGGGCATGCATGGCAGAGCAGACAGCACTGGAGAGGGGTGTGTGAGAGAGAGGGAGGGATGGAAAAGAGGCTAGTAATCAAAGAATGGCTACACATGTGACTATGGCAAGCAGGAAGAGCAGTGCTGTTCCTGGAGAAGGAGTTCTATTGAGTGTGAATGTGCATGCAACAGCAAACGGGGGGGGGGGGGGGGGGGGGAACCATCAGTGCAAAGTATGTGGCAGACAGAAGGCACAAGAACAGGGCATTTGAGAAGGGTGTGTGAACCAGAGAGTGGGAGTGTATTTGTGCCAATGGTCAGCAATAAAAGATGCCCTTATGTATGGATGTGACAGGCAGGGAGGAGGGTGTGACAGAGGATGTGTATAAAGGTAAAGGTGTGTGTGTGTGTGTGTGTGTCTGCACATGCATGCCAGAGCAGGCAGCTGGAGGAGGGGCGGGATCTAGAGGTGTGTATGTGGTAGGCAGCTGAGGGGAGGGGACTGGCAAGCAAGGGTCTGAGGCCATGTGTGCTCGTCTGTGTAGGGGGAAGGCACAGGAGGGTGTGAGGGTGTGTGAGAGGGCGTGTGTATGAGCCTGCGCATGCGCAGGGGAGGGGGACTCCCCTGGAACCTTGAGGCTGGCGGGGCAGGGAGGGGGCTGCAACTGCAGGTTTCCGCGTGTGCGTGCTCGCATACGCTTGCGCGACACAGGGGAGGGGGGGGTGCAATGTCATAATAAGAGACAAGAAAACGTTATAGCTCAAAGGGCAGACCCAAATCGGTGTGGCAGGGAAGGGGGCAAAGAAAGAAAAGGGCATGTGTGAACATAGTTTTTCCCTGAGACTACATTTTTTTTTTGGACAATTCTTTCCCCGGGAACAATATTTTTACCTAAGTATCTTAACCATTTACCATTCAGCAAAAAAACAGCAAAATGGCTGGGGGAGGCCACGGGGTGCCCCGCAAAGGGGGCTGAGGAGGGAGAAAGGAGAGGCGGGGAGAAGTGGCCAGGGCCCGCGAACACCGTTCCCCTCTCAAATAGCCAGGAAAGCCATTCGAATAGGGGCTACGGTAGGCCAAAGGAGATCGGTGGCGGAGAGTGCAGCCCCAGAACAGGCCCATGGAGGACAAGGGCCTCACTCTGCAGTCAGGTCCCCCGTCCGCCCCACCCCTTCCCGAGGGGCGAACCCTAAAAGAGGTTCACCGGATTCCCCCAGATTCTCGCGCCCCTGCCCTGCCACTCGCCCCACCGCCATCGCCTAGAAGAATCGTCAACACGACCAGCCTCTCACTCACCCTGTAGGGACAACAGCACGTTTTTCAGAGGGGCAGAGCTCTCAGACCTCCGACCGCCACCACCGCCAGAGCCGCTGCTCCCGGGTCTCGGGCTCCTCCTCCACCAGACAGCACCCGGGAGGGCGGTGACTGCGGCGGAAGTGATTGTGACGTCGGCTGGAACCCGCCCCCTCGATGTGGCGGGGGCGGCAGCTGCTTTCCACTAATCAGGGTGGGCCCGAAAGCATTATTTCGTTTCAAATGATGAAATCGTCAAGGATACAGAAAAGGACGGCGAAAAATGTGACAAATGGTCAGCGATAAGAAAAGTGAAACATTAAGCCGCATTCCCTTGGGTTCTGTTTTTTTTCTTCAATAAAATCAAATATGCGAATTCTTTCTGATGAATTCCAACGTGTAAGTAATTATCTCACTATATCATATCCTAGATGATACGGTTTGTCTAGGATAGTAAAATGTGAATCTATACTTAGGGTTGCAGGAAGCTGCTCCTTCTTTTTTTTTTTTTTTAACCCGATCGTTGAAACAAGTTGAACCTGTTTGCAGTGGAATTTGTTGCTGTTGGTCACAAAATCAAGCTTCTCCATCCAAAAGGAATGATCAATCGTGAAGCGCAACAGGGGTTCGTAGTCTGGCAGTTGTGCCGCTGTTAAAAATTATTGCAGTTATGCTTTTGATGTACCCAATTTTACTGAAATCTGAAATTTTCAAATTGCACTCTTAACCTTCACAGCCAGTATAAAAAGTTCGTATACTCACAACAGTATCAAGGTTGTTCGGGTTTTTTGTTTTAGTTTTTTGGTACTGGGAGTTGAACCCAGGGACACTTAGCCACTGAAGTACATCCCCAGCCCGTTTACTTTTGAGACGCTCTCACTAAGTTGCTTAGGGCACCACTAAATTGCCCAAGCTAACCTGGAACTTGCCATCCTGCCTCGGCTTCTGGAACTGCTGGGATTACAGGTGAGCGCCATGACACCAGCTGAAAGAAATTTTTGTTCTTACTAGAAATACAACGTGTAATAGAACAAAAAAGTTCGAGGGTAACAATAGAGTAGAAATAAGATGTATAATTTTCAAACTATTAAAGGAATAGTATTTGGAACAAAGAAAAACTCAGTCAATAAAGGGCAAGAAATGAGGGGTGGACTAAGCAGGATGTAAAAAGAAAAACAGATCAGTATGTATTATGGGTTAACATCTGTTAAGATGCAAATTCTCACTGGGCCACATGCCTGAAATACCAGCGGCTCTGGAGGCTGAGGCAGGAGGATCACAAGTTCAAAACCAGCTTCAGCAATTTAGTGAGGCCCTAAGCAACTCAAGAGGTACCCTGTCTCTAAATAAAATATTTTTAAAAAGGCTGGGGATGTAGCTAAGTGATTAAACACCTGTGGGTTCAATCACCAGTACAAAAAAAAAAAAAGCCACAAATTCTCATTTTGATCATTTTATTTATTTGTTTGTTTGTTTGTTTATTTTATCAGGTATTGAACCCAGGGCACTTAACCACTGAGCCACCTTGTCTGGCTAAATTGCGTAGGGTCTTGACAAATTGCTGAGGTTAGCCTTGAACTTTCCAGCCTCTTGAGTTGCTGGGATTACAGGCATGCACCATTGCCCCTAGCTGAGCATTTTGTTTTTAAAAGTCCAATTATATGCTATTTAGGAGTTTCATCTAAAGTAGAAATAGTAATGAAAATACATGTCCGTTCAATATTAGCAGAAAAAAAGAGTGGGGGAGCATGGGAAGGGGAGGTGAAGGAAAGAGGAACAAAAGGAGGGAAGGAGAGAGACTTGTAACAAGACTAATGTAAAAATCAAGGCCAAAGTAGAGAGTATCAAAGAGAACAAAAGAGGGTCTTTCATTCACCAAGGAATAGATAATGATAAGAACAATTATGTGCCATAAAAATGCCCTTTCAAAATATGTGAAAGAAATACAGTTTAAATATAAAAAAGAGCCAAATGTGGAGGCTCAGGCCTGTAACTCCAGCTGCTTGGGAGGTTGAGGCAGGAGGCTTACAAGTTGAAGGCCAGCCTCAACAATTTAGGAGACTTCTTCAAAATAAAAACTTAATCAGAAAAGAGCTAGTGATGTAGCACACACACACACAAAATTTATAGCTGAAGCCCTCATTTATCTTATTCATCTTAACTTCTTTCCCTCAAATAAGCACATTTGGAAGTTGATGTTTTCTTCTCATCCATGTTTGTTTATCTGTCTTTACATGTTTGTATCTATAACCAAAATACAGTATTGTTTTGTGTGTTTTAAATTACATAAACTATATCATGACAGGTTGCAGTGGTACGCATGCTATCATGTAGTCTCAGCTTCTTGAATCTTCTTCATGGGCATGGTAGCTGGTGAGAGAAACAAGAGACACACAGAAAGAAAGAGTGTACCCCAGATAGAATGCATGGCCTTTTTATAACTTTGTGTTAGAAGTGACATCCCATCACTTTTGCTGTTTCCTATTCATTAAAAGCAATCCACAGAATTTGTCCCTTTCATCTAACAATTTTGAAGCCGTGCAATTGTTCATAGTATTTATTATCCTTTGTATGTGTGGTGCTGGGAATCGAACCCAAGGCCTTGTACATGGTAGGCAAGCACTCTACCAATTGAGCTATACCCCCAGCCCTATTGTCCTTATAATGTCCATGAAATCAGTAGTGATAGCCACTCTTTCGTTTCTGATATTAGTCATTTTGTTCACTCCCTTGTCTGGAAGCTTACAATCATCTTGATCTTTCATATTTTCTAACATTTGCCTTCAATGCTACAAATTTCCCTCAAAGCACTGCTTTTGCTGCAATTCACAAATTTTGGTAAATTATGTTTTCACTGTCAATTTATGGTGAAACTTCTTGAACCCCTATGTTATTTGGAATTATATTGTTTAATCTCCAAATACTTGAGGGCTTTCCATCTATCTTTCTGTTTTTGATTGCTAATTTCATTTCACGGTGGTCTGAGAGCTTATTTTGTATGGTGTCTATTCTTTGAAACCTGTTAAGGCATGTTTTATGGCCCAGGATGTGGTCTATCTTAGTGAATGTTCCACATGAGCTTGGAAAGAATGTGTATTCTGCTGTTGTTAAATGAAGTAGTCTATAAATGTCAATTAGATCTGGTTGATTGATGGTGCTATTCAGTTCAACTATATTCTTATTGATTTTTTGGCTGCTAGATCTGTCAATTATTGATAGAGGAGTGTTGAAATCTTCAACTATCATAGTGGACTCATCTATTTCTCCTTGTACACCTATTGGTTTTTGCCTCATATACTTTTTTTTTGGTGTCTCTAACACTCTGTTGTCAGGTGTATACTTTTTTTTTTTTTTTGAACCCAGGATTGAATCCAGGGGCACTTATAACCCCTGGTTAGCTATTTCTATCCATTGCTCTTGGTATTTTTTTAATCTTTGTTTTTTCTTTTCTTTTCCACTCTGTCTTCACTGATTTTAATTAAGCATTTTATGATTCCATTTTCTCTCCTCTCTGAGCATATCAATTATACTTCTTTTTTAACTTTATTTTTTTTAACTTCATTCTAGAGCCTGCAATATATATTTACAACTAATCCAAGTCTACTTTTCAGTAACACTATAACACTTCATGAATGGTGCAGGCAGGTATTCCCAATTCCTCCATCCTATCCCTTATGTTATTTCTGTCATTCATTTCATGTGTCCACAAGCTATAGGCATCCAAATTTGTTAATATTATTTTCTTTGAGTGGACTGTTATATCCTTTAAAAATACAAAAATAAAACATTTTATTTATACCATCATTTATTCTTTCTCATATGTTCTTCTTTATGCAGATCCAAGTTTCTGACCTATATCATTTTCTTCTCTGAATAACATTTTAATGTTTCTTGTTGAGACAGCTCTTGGAAGTGATATCTCAACACTTTTGCCATATTCTCTCTCTCTCTCTCCTTTTTTTTTTTTTTTGGTACTGGAGATTTAACACAGGGGCATTTTACCGCTGAGGTACATCCTAGCCCTTTTTATTTATTTGTTTGTTTACTAAGACAGGGTCTGGCTGAGTTGCTTAGGGCCTCACTAAATTGCTAAGGCTGGACTTGAACTTGTGATCCTCCTGCCTCAGACTCTTATTGAAAGTGGGTTGCTAGGTCTAACCTACATTCAACAGGAAGGGATTACACAAGGGCATGAGTTCCAGAGGGGGTGATCATATGGAAGGGGGGGGGGCGGGGGGATGGGTAAGAGCATTTGAACTTTAACAGAAATTGCCAAACTGCTTTCCAAAGTGGTTGTAACAATTTACATTCCCACCTGCAGTTTGTTCTCATCATCCTCAGCACTCTTGGTTCTGAATTTTAAAATTGTTGCCAATCTGATGAGTGCAGAGCACCATTATTTGATTATGTTTTTCCCTAACTTACTAGAGATGTCAAGTGCCTTTTTACAATTGGTGACCATTTCAATTTCTTCTTCTCTGAAATGTATGTTCATATCTTTTGTCCATTTTTATAATGATGTTGTTTTTCTTGTTAGTATTGATTTCTAGGTATTTTTTATATATTCAGAACATGAGATATCAATTATATTTGTATAGTTGCAAATATATTCTCCTAGTTGGTGTTTTCTTTCAATGCAAGTATGAAATTATAACAGTACTTAAAATTAACCTTAGGAGAATGCTTTTCATAAACCTGGAGTGAATAAGAGCTTTGTAAGTTTGGCAAAAGATACAGGAGCAAAAAGGAAAAGGTTCACCTACATATAAATAAAATCTGCTTGGAAGCATAAATAAATAAATAAATAAAACCAAACAATTCTAAGTAAAAAAAAAAAGACAAATGAAAACCTGGAAAAGGGCTCATTTCCCAATTACATGAAGAGCTCCTATAAATCAAGAAAAGTCCAACAAATTGATTTTAAAATGAGAAAAGTATACCAACATACTTTTCCTCATAGCCCAGCCCCCGGCCCCAGTACCGGGGATAGAACCCAGAAGTGTTTTACTACTGAGCTACATCCACAGCCCTTTTAATTTTTGTTTTGAGACAGGATCTTGCTAAGTTGCCCAGGCTGGTCTCAAACTTTTGAAGGAGGAGGGAATGGAAAAAA